ACCCAACATGAGAGAACCTAAATTTATAAAGCAAATATTAATAGAACTAAAGGGAGAAAAAGACAGCAATATAATAATAGAAGGGAACTTTGATACCCCATTTTGAACAACTGATCATCTGAATAGAAAATAAATGAGGAAACATTGGACTTGAACTACATATTAGACCAGATGAACTTGAAGACATTTACAGAAAATTCCATTCAAAAGCAGCAGAATACACATTATTCTCAAGTGCACATGGGACCCTCTCCAGCAGAGATCACATGTTAGGTCACAAAACAAGGCTTTATAAATTTAAGACTGAAATCATATCAAGTATCTTTTTTGACCATAATGGTATGCAACTAAAGTTCAACTACAAAAAGAAGAAAACTAGAAAATTCAAAAATATGTGCAGATTAAACAACACATTCCTGAAAAACCAATGGGTCGAGGAAGAAATGAAAACAGAAATCAAAAAGTATCTTGAGAGGAATGAAAGTGAAAACACAAAATATCAAAACATGGGATGCAGCAAAAGCAGTTCTAAAAGGAAATTCATAGCAATAAATGCCTACATTAAGAAAGAAGATTCTTGGATTGGAAGAATGAATATTGTCAAAATGCCTATACTACCCAAGGCAATGTACAGATTCAATGCAATCCCTATCAAATTACCAATGGCATTTTTCACAGAACTAGTACAAAAAATTTTTACATTTATATGGAGACACAAAAGACCTGTGTCTGTGTGGAGACACAAAAGACGGAGCTGGAGGAATCAGGCTCCCTGACTTCAGGCTATATTACAAAGCTACAGTACTCAAAACAGTGTGGTACTGGCACAAAAACAGAAATATAGATCAATGGAATAGGACAGAAAACCCAGAAATAAACCCACGCACCTATGGTCAATTAATGCAAAGGAGGCAAGAATATACAATGGAGAAAAAACAGTCTCTTCAATAAGTGGTGCTGGGAAAACTGGACAGCTACATGTAAAAGAATGAAATTAGAACAATTCTCTAACACCATACACAAAAATAAACTTAAAATGGAGTAAAGAGCTAAATGTAACACTGGACACTATAAAACTCTTAGAGGAAAACATAGGCAAAACACTCTTTGACATAAGTTGCAGCAATATCTTTTTTGATCCACCTCCTAGAGTAATAAAAATAAAAACAAAAATAAACAAATGGGACCTAATTAAACTTAGCTTCTGCACAACAAACGAAACCATAAACAAAACAAAAAGAAAACCCACAGAATGGAAGAAAATATTTGCAAACAAAGTGACCAATCGGAGATTAATCTCCAAAATATACAAAGAGTTCATTCAGCTCTGTCAAGAAAACAAACAGGGAATTCCCGGTGGTCCAGTGGTCAGGACTCCACATTTTCACTGCCAAGGGCACAGGTTCAATACCTGATCGGGGAAGTAAGATCCCGCAAGCCGCATGGCACGGGGAAAAAAAAATCGAAAAATGGGTGGAAGATCTAAATAGACATTTCTCCAAAGAAGACATACAGATGGCCAAAAAGCACATGAAAAGATGCTCAACATCACTAATTTTCAGAGAACCACAAATCAAAACTCCAATGAGGACCTCATACCAGTCAGAATGGCCATAATCAAAAAGTCCACAAACAATAAATGCTGGAGAGGGTGTGGAGAAAAGGGAACCCTACTATGCTGTTGGTGGGAATATAAATTAGTACAGCCACTATGGAGAACAGTATGGAAGTTCCTTAAAAAACTAAAAATAGAGCTACCATATGATCCAGTAATCCCACTCCTGGACATATATCTGGAGAAAACCATGGTTTGAAAGAATACATGCACCCTAATGTTCAGGGCAGCACTGTTTACAATAGCCAAGACATGAAAGCAACCTAAATGTCTGTCGACAGATGAATGGATAAAGAAGATGCGGCACATATACACAAGGGAATATTACTCAGCCACGAAAAAGAATGAAATAATGCCACTCACTGGCAGCAACATGGATGGACATGGAGATTATCATACTAAGTGAAGTAAGTCAGACAGAGAAAGACAAATATCATTGATATCGCTTATATGTGGAATCTAAAAAAAAAATGACACAAATGAACTTATTTACAAAACAGATTCATAGACTTAGAGAACAAACTTACAGTTACCAGCAGGGAAGGGTTGGGGGGAGGGCTACACTGGGAGTTTGGAACTGACATGTACACACTGCTATATTTAAAATAGATAACCAACAGGGACCTACTGTATAGTACAGGGAACTCTTTTCAATATTGTATACTAACCTAAATGGGAAAAGAATTTGAAAAACAGTAGATACTTGTATATGTATAACTGAATCACTTTGCTGTACACCTGAAAGTAACACAACATTGTTAATCAACTATACTCCAATATAAAATAAAATTTTTTTAAAAAAGATAAAAGATAACAAGTGTTGGTGAGGGTATGGAGAAAAGGGAACACTTTTGCACTGTTGGTGGGAACATAAATTGATTCAGTCACTATGGAAAACAGTATGGAGGTTCCTCAAGAAATTAAAAATAGAACTACCAGGCTTCCCTGGTGGCGCAGTGGTTGAGAATCCGCCTGCCAATGCGGAGACATGGGTTTGAGCCCTGGTCCAAGAAGATTCCACATTCTGCGGAGCAACTAAGCCCGTGTGCCACAACTACTGAGCCTGTGCTCTAGAGCCCGTGCTCTAGAGCCCGCGAGCCACAAATACTGAAGCTTGCACGCCTAGAGCCCGTGCTCTGCAACAAGAGAAGCCACCACAATGAGAAGCCCACGCACTGCAATGAAGACCCAACACAGCCCAAAATAAATAAAATAAATAAATTTATAAATTAAAAAAAATAGAACCATATGACCCAATAATCCAGCTTCTGGGTATATATCCAAAGGAAATGAAATCAGCATCTCAAAGAGATATCTGTACTCCATGTTCACTGCAGCACTGTTCACAATTGCCAAGGTACGGTAACAACTTATGTGTCCATCATGCAATCTCAAGGGACTCCAAAGACCCAAAATAATTTTGAAAAAGAAGAACAAAGTTGGAGGACTCCAACTTCCTGATTTCAAAACTTATTACAGTCATAAGAAGAATGTGGTATTGGCACAAAGACAATCATATAGAGCAGACAAATAGAAAAGAAAGCCCAGAAATAAACCCTCAGACACATCAAATGATTTTGACAAGGGTGCCACAACCGTTCAATGGAGAAAGGACAGCCTTTTCAACAAATGATACTGGGAAAATTGGATATCCACATGCCAAAAAATGAAGTTGGGAGCTTCCCTAGTAGTCCAGTGGTTAAGACTCAGCGCTTCCAGTGCAGGCGCATGGGTTCAATCCCTGGTCAGGGAAATTCTGCGTGCCACAAGGTGCGGCAAAAAAAAAATTTCTTTTCTTAATTAAACAAAATTCTTAAAAACGGGATATGGCTTCCCTGGTGGTGCAGTGGTTAACAATCTGCCTGCCAATGCAGGGGACATAGGTTCGAGCCCTGGTCCGCTAAGATCCCACATACCGTGGAGCAACTAAGCCCATGTGCCACAACCCGTGAGCCTGTGCTCTAGAGCCTGCAAGCCACGACTACTCAGCCCACGTGCCACGACTACTGAAGCCTGCACACCTAGAGCCCATGCTCCGCAACAAGAGAAGCCACCCCAGTGAGAAGCCCGCGCACCGCAACGAAGAGTAGCCCCCACTTGCCACAACTAGAGAAAGCCTGCGCACTGCAATGAAGACCCAATGCAGCCAAAAATAAATAAATAAAAAACGGGATAGAAAAAGAGTATGTTTTTAAATAGGTTCTTGGGGAGACAAAATGACACATGGAATGGTTACCCATTCACTGAGAATTTAGTGAAAGAAATAAGAACTATTTCAGATATAGATTAGAAAGGTTTTATAACTACTAATTAAGTAAATTACACTGATAGCTTTCATTTTTTCTGTGAAGCATTAGATATAGTCATCTGCTAAGCAGAAAGCGGGAGCAGAAAATGGAAGATTCAAAAATAAACATTTACTTGGGTCATTTTTGCCCAACACTGTAAAATGTAAATTTTGACTATAAGTGAAGCTCATTGCGCAAGATAAATTGGAACTTTCCTCAAATTCACTCAGGGCAAAAGATGAAATAAATGTACCATTTTGGAAAAAATGGCATGATAGATAATTAACTTGTGATACGTAACTTGTTCAAATTCAGTTTAATCAGAAGTAGATTTGGGAAATGAGAAGACATATTTAATAGCTTCATCCAAATAAACAGAAGATCCAAATTTCTCTTGCTTGCAATTATACGCCCCCCACAACACACACAAAGTAACTCAAATTATCTTGTTGCATTGATTAGCTATATTTTAGCAAGTAAGGGTAACTCCCTGAATCTCAATGTTAACATGCAAAATGTCTAAGAAAGTCAACCTTTTGACTTTTCATCACTGGTCTGCTGAATTCAAACGCCCAATATCACAGGCATTATTACAGAGGAGCTAAACTTTTCTCAGGTAAAACTGTATAACAGCATATTGTGTTAAAGATATAAAATGCTGGAATTATGTTGAGTTTATGCTGTCCTCAAAATTAGTTATTTTTTGGAAATATTTGTATATTTCCAAAGAGATTTTATTCTGCCTTTACAATTTGGCATCATGACAAATCAGTATATCACAGACTCAACTTCACATATATGAAAACATTCAGAACCAGAAAGATCTAAAAAGCAATAATCACCTTAGGTGGTTGAATTGAAAGAACAAAGAAAATACATGTTAATCCTGATTACCAATTCTAGGTCCTTTTCACTATCCCAATTAACTTCACATTCAAAGTGTACATTTGCCTTAGAACATGATGGAAAATAGCAAAGAGGTGCATAACTTCAAAGTGAATATAAACCATCTGAAATATATGATAAAAGACTCAACAGCATTATTCTAAAATAGAATTAACTATAGTTCTAATAATTTATAAGACTGTGTTCCATACTTTTCTGTCTCTGAATCCAGAACGTTTCTTCTTTTTCTCTTCTGGATAAGGCTCAAGACAAATACCTGAAGCCTTTTTTTCGTGGTTACAATCTTCCCCTTCATCTTTACTCTTCCCTTTAGCACCAAGTTCACTCTTTAGGTTGTTTACAGATGGTGGAGATTGTGCAAGGGCCCTGGATATTAAAAAAAAAAAAATCTATCAATCAAGAAGGTCCATCATATTAAACAAATAAATATTTTCAGATAAAGCTAGGCAGGAACAACAGCAATGAAATTTGTGAAAAGTTCGACATGAAAACGTTCCTCAAAAAATTAAAAATAGAACTAACATATGATCCAGCAATCCCACTTCTGGTTATATATCCAAAAGAATTGAAAGCAGGGTCATTCAGAGATTTTTGCACACTCATCTTAATAGCAGCATTATTCACAATAGCTAAAATGTGGAAGCAACCCAAATGTATATTGATAGATAAATGGAATATGGTATATCTGTATAACAGAATAATATTCAGCCTTAAATATAAAGGATATGACACCAAAAGCACAGGCAACAAATCAAAAACAGGCAGGATTACATGACACTAAAAACCTTCAGCAGAGCAATAATCAACAAAATGAAAAGACCATCTACACAATGGAAGAAAATATTTGCAAACCATATATTTAATAAAGGGTTAATATTTTAAATGTATAAAAGGAACTCTTACTACACAATAGCAACAAAATAAATAACCTGATTAAAGGTGCTCAACATCAATAATCATCAGGGAAATGCAAATCAAAACCACCACGAGATATCACCTCACACCTGGTAGGATGGCTTTGCTCAAAAACAAACAAACAAACAAATAACAAAATAAAACCCCAAAAGATAACAAGTGTAGGCAAGCATGTGGAGAAAAGGGATGCCTGGTACACTGTAGGTGGGAAAGTAAATTGATACAGCCACTATGGAAAACAGTATGGAGGATACTCAAAAAACTAGCAATAGAATATGTTAGTTTTCTAACTAGAATATGATTAAGCGATCCCACTTCTGGTTACACATCACAAGGAACTGAAATCAGGATCTCAAAGAGATATATACACTCTCATGTTCAGTGCAGTATTATTCACAGTAGCCAAGATATGGGAGAAACCTAAATTTCTATCAATCAACACAGAATTTGCAAACGAAGCGACTGACATGGGATTAATCTCCAAAACATACAAACAGCTCATGCAGCTCACTATCAAAAAAACAAACAACCCAGGACTTCCTGGAGGTCCAGTGGTTAAGACTCTGTGCTTCCATCACAGGGGGCAGGCACGAGTTAGATCCCTGGTCAGGGAACTGAGATCCCACATGCCACGTGGTGGGGAGAAAAAAAAAAAAAAGTATCTCTTTAAGAAAAAAACAAATAGCTCAAGCAAAAAATGGGCAGAAGATCTAAAGAGACACTTCTCCAAAGAAAACATCCAGATGGGCAACAGGCACATGAAAAGATGTTCAACATCACTAATTATTAGAGAAATGCACATCAAAACTACAATGAGGTATCACCTCACACCAGTCAGGATGGCCATCATCAAAAAACCTACAAACAATAAATACTGGAGAAGGTGTGGAGGAAAGGGAACCCTCCTACACTATTGGTGGGAATGTAAATTGGTACAGTCACTATGGAGAACAGTATGGAGATTCCTTAAAAAATTAAAAATAGAGCTACCACATGATCCAGCAATCCCACTCCTGGGCATATATCTGGAGAAAACCGTAATTCGAAAGGATACATGCACCCCAATGTTCACTGCAGCACTGTTTACAATAGCCAAGACATGGAAGCAACCTAAATGCCCATCGACAGAGGAATGGATAAAGAAGATGTGGTACATATATACAATGTAATACTACTCAGCCATGAAAAAGAATGAAATAATGCCATTTGCAGCAAAAAGGATGGACCTATAGATTGTCATACTGAGTGAAGTAAGTCAGACAGAGAAAGACAAATATCATATGATATCGCTTATATGTGGAATCTAAAAAAAAGGGTACAAATGAACCTATTTACAAAACAGAAATTTAGTCACAGATGTAGAAAACAAACTTATGGTTACCAAGGGGGAAAGTGGGGAAAGGCATAAATTGGGAGACTGGGACTGACATATACACACTACTACATATAAAATAGATAAATAATAAGAACCTACTGTATAAAACTGAAGTATAGTTGATGTACAGTAAGTTACAGGTATACAATACAGTGATTCACAATTTTTAAAGATTATACTGCAGGATGGTGAACTTTATATTATACATATTTTTTACCACAACAACAACAAAAAATTCACTGAAAGAAGAAATGTGAGACCAAAAGAATCACAAACAGGTATTTAGATAAAAACTTGCACTTGAAAGAAAATTCTACATGAAGACAAATCATCTGATGGGCTTCCCATGTTCATTCTATTATGAACAGCAAGAAAAAAACTGAATGTTCAGTAAAGGCTCCTTGGGCTTACTAGAGATTGAAACTGATAATCTATTCTATAAAGATTTTCCCTACTTACTCAGCAAAGGTAATGACTCTATTCCTTCAAACTCCTACACTATTTAGTGACTGAACCTTAACATGTAATTTAGGCTGGTTTTACAAGACCTTCACTGGGCTTACCACCCTCTGGTTTAGTGAAAAGGACTAAAGGCATTACTAAGACTCTATTGGCAAAATTTGTAGAGGCCCTCCAAATACCTTGGCCAAAGCATTGTCACTGGTCCTTCTAAATCTCAGATCCACCCCTTTTGGAACTCATAAACTCTCACCCTTTGAAACAGTCATAGGATGCCCAATGCACTTGTCTCCTGCTTCTTCTGACCCACAACTGATAAAAGAAGAGATACTCCAATATCCCAAAGACCTAATTGCTTCTATTAAAAATAATCATGCTTTGGTAAAGCAATCTTTTCACAGTGCACTGTTTGGAGATGAAGACCTTAAGCATCACAGCTTGCACCTGGAGATTCTGTCTATTGGAAAAGACACCTCCAGAAGAAGTCTCTTCAAGCTTGCTGGAGAGGCCTCTATCGGGTACTGCTAACCAACCTTTGTGCTGCCAAACTCCAAGGAAGAGACTATTAGATTCACGTCAGACACCTAAAGAAAGCGCCAAACCCTGACTGGACCTACACATCATCTGGTGACCTGAAACCAAAGATTTCCTGAAATTGAAGGAGACAACTTCTGATGAGACAGCCATCCCAAGATATCTGAACAAGCCCTGTTGGAAATGTGTTGCTGAAACCTTTAATGATGACAATGTTTCAGATGATTTCCAATGTCTATGATCTTGGTAACAGTGAACTTCAGATAAAACGTGCATGAGCGTTCTCCCTCTTACACCTCCTTGTTACTCAAATGTGACCTCAACAGTTTTCCAATCTACGCACTTCCTCTCCAACATGAGACATTAGACCCAGGAAAGCTCCTCCCTGGCACTGAAATATGAAAACTCACTGGCAGTAGAAAACCTGATTTTTGATCAGCAATGCTTTCAAAGAAAGGTCTTGGTCAAAAGGGGGAAATGTAAAAAATTAATAAACAGAAGCCTCAATTACAGTCAGGGGGAGCTCTCACACTCTGTGATGATAGCAGAGCCCAACAGGAAGAAGAAAGACACCTCTTCTTTCCTGACAAGGACTCAGCCAATAAAAAGCCATGGACTCTTTGCTTATTATACCCCTCCCAACTTCTTTTTCACCCTATAAAAGACAGGCAGACCTTGAAGCAGAATATTTCCTATTTGTTGCTTTGACATGATAGCCTAATTCCCTGAAACATCTTATTTCATAGACAAATATTATCAATGCCAAATGATTTAGCAAAGAAATTTCGATACAAAGTCAAGCCAGAAATCAATCCCTTTTAGATAACAGAGACAACTGGAAGAATAAAAGTACATGCAGGAACAGGATGCTCGGATAACACTCACCTCTTCCACAAGAGACCCGTACTTGCAGTTACTGCAGATGCTCCAAGAAAAGCCACCATCATCAGCCGTCGCCTGATCTGGGTGGGCTGTGATGCTCCATGGTACCATCGAGAGCCCACTGCCAGCTCTGCCAATGCAGAAAGAGAGTTAAGACGAAACATCCTGTGGACAAAAAGTAGAAATGTTATTCCTAGCTGGTGGCAGTGACAGTGATGATGATGATAATAACAGTATTAACATCACCAACAAATACTAAGTACTTAATGGCAGACAGTATTCTAAACACTTGGCAATACTATGTATTATCCCATTTAATCCTCAGAACAATCTGATGAGAAAAGTACTACTACTTATAAACCTTACATATCAGTCAAGGTACAATTAGAAGAAACCACATGGTAATTTGAACAGGGAAAATTTAATATAAAGCATTATTAATAACAACAGGCAATTAAGTACTAAGGGGTAAAGAGACATTAGATACAGGGAGCAGTCACTACTTAAAGGGCTGTTGCAGAGCAACAAAAAAGGAATAAATCTGTAAACGGGCCATGCCCAACTGGGTTGAGATCCGGAAACTCTGGTGAGGACGCAGCCATGGATGTCAGATAAATTTACTAAAGTGCTACACCAAAAGAACTCACTGTAAAGCCATCTACAGGTGACTGAAGGAGAAACAGACATTTCTTCTTGATTACATGACTTTTCGTAGTGGCAGTTCATTCAAATCACACAAAGTATCCATACTTCTCCCCTTTGATTTTCTCAAAGCATAGTTTATTTCTTCCTGATTTAAATTATCTTGCACTTTGTATGTATATTCACATATTCACATATTTGTTCATACATAACTTTGTTCATACATAACTTTGCCTCCCCCCAACTCCCAACATACACAATTGGTTCTGAGCTTCCTTTAAGGTCAAAATTATTCTGTGAAAACACACAGTCTAACACAGACCCTGTTACATTACAGCTGCTTAAAATATTTAACTATTTTACTTTAACATGAAAAATGTCAAGTTGCAAATTATACACGTACTGGCTCTGAACATTTAAGTACATTTTTCAACCCCAATACACTAAGAAAACTATGTCTTTTATTGTTTGGGTTCAGGTCAAGTTAGACTATTTAGCTGTCTCCTAACATCACCGAGGTGGATACTGATTCTTCTCTGGGACCTATACCTATAATCTCTTAAGTAAAGCTTTCTCCTAGCCTCCTTCATTCAACGTAGGTCCAATGCCAAAGTTGGAGCTAAATCTTGCCCTTAAAGATAAAGTGGGAAATAATTAATTTTTTCTCCTATATGCTATGACCTAAGCTTCAGCACCACAATTCTTACATCCCTTCCAATCCTAGAAATCACCTCATTTTATTGCACATACTCTAGCAAATTCCAGCAACAAGGAGATTGTCTTTTATGTTTTCTTCCATCTGTCAACATCTGATTCATTTTTAAATTAACATTTTCCAAACCCACAAGTGCATTCATACATAGCATTGCTTTCGTCTGTAACAAAGACAAGCACAACTAAAACATTCATATCTGGAGAAAACATTATTCATCATTGACAACAGAAAGAAAAGAGCATTTGAAAGTTCTCAATGTGAAAGACAAATAACATAACCAGTTCAAAAGCTGGGCTAGGCAAGGGGTATAAGGCTGGAAGATAAGTTTACAACATCTGATCTGATATGGAGAATATATAAATGATCAAATAGGAAAGCCGTGATCACTTGAGAAGATCCTTTGAATGCTGGACTGAGAATTTTGACCACATATACAACAAACAGGGAGCCACTGAAGTCCTTAAAAGGAAAATAACATGATGCAAACATTTTTAAAAGAATTCCAATCTATCTAATAGCAGTGAATAGAATAAACTACAAAGAACCATAGGCAAAGAGAGCTAACAGGGAAGTAATGAGTACAGTCAGAGGCAGCTAATAACCGAAAGTATTGTGATGAGCACCTAGATCAGGATGATTAAGTATAGAAACCAAAAATAAAATAAAATAAAAATTTCCAAAGAGAAACAAAACTATCAGATATCAGTGTTTGACATACATCAATATCTAACTGCATTGGAATTCCCTGGTGGTCCAGTGGTTAGGACTCTGCACTCTCACTGATGAGCGCCCGGGTTCAATCCCTGGTTGGGGAACTGAGATCCTGCAAGTCGTGTGGTGTGGCAAAAAAAAAAAAAATCTAACTGCATAGGAGATGTGGAAGACAAAAAGGGAAAAGGAATTAAAGTAATGACAACACTAAGGAATATGGTAGAAAGTGAAATGGAATAGGAATCCAATGACCCAAGATCTAGTCTCAACTCTACTACTAAACAGTTACGCACAAAGGAAGTTCATCTCTCCTCCTCAGAGAAAAGTATACCCATTGATGAGAGAACTGCTACAGGAGCTTTAGGGTTTCTTTTATTTCTTTAATGTTCTCATACCTCTGGTAAAAAAAGGTATGGAAAAATTTAATCTATTTCAATTCGGGGGGAGGGACTAAGACCATATCATATATTCAAGATTTATTAGATTTGAGCATCTATATCTGTATGCTATGGCTCCAGAGAATTTTAAACTTTGGAGGTTCTGAGTTATACTAACACTCCACTTACATCTGATGTTGTAATTCAAATGTTACTGTCTACATCTCATTTCACCACTGGTTTTAATCTCATTCCCCAAAGTACACAACAATATATATCTAGTCACCTTCTCTAGGGTAATTTCCAATAGATGCCAAGTAAACAGAGGAAAAAAATTATCCCACTGAGAACAGGCTCTATTATAATTTAATTCTCAGCTTTGTACTGAAGAAATAGTGTAACTAGCTGAATGTGTTAAGTTTTGATGAGAGACCGTTTAAACAGATTTAAGGAGATCAGCTTTCCAACTGAGTCTGGAAAACTGAATAGGCCAACTGGCAGCAGTTATGCAGTAATGAAGATTAACATGCACATATATGACATGGATTAAATTAAATCAAAACCAGTGCATTTTTCTCTTTCCTAACAGTCCCCATCCTTCTCCCAAAAAAAGGCATGCCTCTAAAAAATAGCTTTGATTGCAATTGAAAAAAGATGAAGAGGTATTTCTAATCAAGAAATGTCAAGAGAAGCAAGTAAAAGATAATCTTGTTGCCAAAGAAAAGCATTATCTATCCACAAAGAAACAGAACAAGTTGTTTTTTAAAAAAAAAAAACAAAAAACCTGTAACAGTATATCACTGCTGTGTTTCTGTATCTATTATTTTTAAACTATCATGCTTAATGTATTGTTTTTGGTAACTTTCAAAGGGTCACAGAACCAGAAAATCACTTAATTCAACATCCTTATTTTACAGGTAAAGCAACTAAGATCTAGATAAGTTATGTAGTTTACTCATAGCTAATTAGTACAAAAACCTACAATAGATCCCAAAATTCTTGATTCCCAAATAAATAACGTAAGGGGGGGAAAGCTCTTCAAAACTGTTCCCAGAAAAATAAATATAATAGCCACACTTCAAAAGGAGATCAAGTGTCCAATTACAGAAAGATACACAATGTTATAATGACAGAATACAATGTAATATAAATATTAAAAATGATAACCATTAAAAGGAATAAAATATTATTTCACAAAATAACAGAAAGTTGGGCTAAAGATATAAAAAGACAGTTGAAAAACAGAAGTAAACATGGCTCTATAATCTATGAAAAGATACTTAATATCACACATAATAAGACAATGCAAATTAAAACTATATTGACAAACTGTTTTTCACTCATTAAGCTGGCAAAATCCAAAAGTTTTAAAACATACTAGTTGGCAATGCTGTAGAAATGGCACTGCTGAGGAATGTGTAAATTGGTACAATCTACAGAGGGCAATTTTGTAATATCCATCAAAATCACCTATATAAACTGCATATATTGACCTAGCAATTCCACTTCTGATATAATACGCTATTGATATACTTGCACACCTTTGAAACTACACACACAAACATTCATTGCAACATGGTTTGTAACAAACAGCAAAAGACTAAAAACCACCCCAGTGATCACCAAGAGAGAACTGGTTACACTATGATAAATATCAATATATACAAGGCAATATCACATAGCAATAAAAAGAAAATGAAAAAACTATGTATAGATTTGGAAAGATTTTCAAAACATACTGTTATCTTAACAAAGCAAGGTGTGGGACAACATATATAGTATGATACCTTTCGTGTAAAAAGAGGGGAAACAAGAATGTGTATTTGTATGTTCTTATTAATTCTGGAAGGACACACAAAACAGTAATAGCAATAGTGCCGGTGGGGGTGGGAGATGGGTGAGATATGAGACAGGGAGATTTTTTTTTTAACATCTTTATTGGACTATAATTGCTTTACAATGGTGTGTTAGTTTCTGCTTTATAACAAAGTGAATCAGCTATATATATACATACATCGCCATATCTCCTCCCTCTTGAGTCTCCCTCCCACCCTCCCTATCCTGCCCCTCTAGGTGGTCTCAAAGCACCGAGCTGATCTCCCTGTGCTATGCGGCTGCTTCCCACTAGCTATCTATTTTACATTTGGCAGTATATACAAGTCCATGCCACTCTCCCAATTCGTCTCAGCTTACCCTTCCCTCTCCCCATGTCCTCAAGTCCATTCTCTACATCTGCGTCTTTATTCCTGTTCTGCCCCTAGGTTCTTCATAACCACTTTTTTTTTAAAGATTCCATATATATGTGTTAGCATACAGTATTTGTTTTTCTCTTTCTGACTTACTTCACTCTGTATGACAGTCTCTAGATTCATCCACATCTCTACAAATGACCCAATTTCGTTCCTTTTTATGGCTGAGTAATATTCCATTGTATATATGTATCAAATCTTCTTTACCCATTCGTCTGTCGATGGGCATCTAGGGTGCTTCCATGACCTGGCTATTGTAAATAGTGCTGCAATGAACGTTGGGGTGCATGTGTCTTTTTGAGTTATGGTTTTCTCTGGGTATATGCCCAGTAGTGGGACTGCTGGGTCATACAGTAGTTCCATTTTTAGTTTTTTAAGGAACCTCCATACTGTTCTCCATAGTGGCTGTATCAATTTACATTCCCACCAACAGTGCAAGAGGGTTCCTTTTACTCCACACCCTGTCCAGCA